TACTCGAAAATGTGTTCCAAATGAAAAAATCATAAACAGTGGAGCAAATATATTAGAATAATCATTTAGTACAAATCAATGAATTTTACGATTACAAATATTATTAATCAGAGTGAGCACTTTAACAAAACCTAAGCCCCTATTTGGTTTAGATAAAAAATAATAATATATGCCCATGTTTGGTAGAGATTAAAATCAAAATCAAAATCAAAATTTTAGTTGTACCAAACATGGGCATATTTTGATAAAAGTTAATGAAATGTGTGGAAATGTAGTTAAAATTAATTACTGAATTTGTTTTAAATTTTAATCAATTTTTGTATTTTAACAAAATTAACTTATAGATTGTCTTTTATTTTAATTTAATAATTATAGCTTTTCATGATTCCAATCAACTACATACAAATTCCAAAGACGTTTTGTAGAACTGTGGTCTTGAATAGGAAATCTCGGTGATTTTCCAATCATTAACCATATAAACTTAGAAATAAAAAGATGCACGTAAATTTTGAAGCTAAAATTATGAGATTAAATTAGGTAATAATGAAAGGAGAAATTCGGATTTATTTCTATTTAGTCAACAGCACAATGAACGTGTCTTGTAATACAATTGAATAGATAGATACAGTTTCTATAGAATGACATAGCTTTCCGCAATTCATTTATATAGATGGCATAATGGATAAATTTTGGCTGACTGAACTTCGCAGGTCACCTTTCCTAACATGGAGGACTTGAGTGTTCGGGCCTTGCATTGTATGGTAAAGCTACTAGGCAAGGAAATGCCAATAACATCTTTGCATAAACTAAGAGGCATGACCGTGTCGAATTGTGATAAATTGCTGACCATTGCAAAATCTGATTCAATTAAGTTACTGCAAAATCTTGATTTTCTTAATGTGGATGCATGTGATGCACTTGAAGCATTGTTTGACTTTGAGGGTATAAAGGTCACTAATGATGATGCAGAAATTAATATGCTTGGTCGATTAACATCATTGTCGCTATACTTACTACCAAAATTGGTGCACATTACAAGGATGGTTCCAAAAGGAATTCCTGTCTTCCAAAATTTGACACATCTTCATGTTATTGCTTGTGAGAGCTTAAGATACTTATTTTCACCTTCTATAGTCAACTCACTTGTGGCCCTAGTAGATTTATCAATTACATGTTGCGAAGCATTGGAAGAAATCATTGGAAGAGAAGAAGATGAAAAAGAGGAAAACACTTCAGAGAAAAGAAACATTGTGATGGATGCAAACACTTCACCGAACCTCCATCACTTCACACAAGTTGTTTCAATGGATGCAAAACGAAATGAAGTTATCGACATGCTTGAGTTCCCAAAACTAGGCACAATCAAGCTTCGCGATTTAAGCAGTTTTAAGAGCTTCAGATCTGAAACAAACAATGATGGCATTCTTCAAACGTTGTTCAATCAGGTATGTATCTTTCCTTTTCTCTGTGTGCGTCTTGCCATATTTGTTTCCAAGTACGCGTATGAAAATCGAAGAATAAGACAA